AAACATGAGGGTGCAAGGTTTAAGTATCTGCATTTTGAACACCAACTATTTCAAGCTATTTATTTAGATATTAGTTTAACTAACCTAAGGAGCAGGGAAGCAGACGGGTGTTTTATGTGACCAGCAATCTACATCATGCACAAATCATACTTCAATGAAATCTGTGCTCTTGTTAATCGTGAACCATGTCCAACACAATTCCCATAGATTAGTGACTTTGCTACTAAGATTTGTTTTGTTCCCACCAATCTATTGTGGACTTTTCAAAACCTGTTGTACCTGCAACTTTACAACCTGGCTGTTCAGACAGGGGTGTGTCCATAGCCTGAGGATATCTTGTGAGGAAAAAAACATGTCAACTGTCTGTTTGAAAGATTTTCATTTCTTAAGGTGGACATATTTTGAATATAGTTGGGTCGCCGGATTGCCTGCCTTGCCATTAAGTGTAAAATGACACTGCCTAGTAAATCTGATATTTCCTAAAATGTTTCCGAAAGTGAGCCATCTGAAGCTGTTGTAAGTGAAGCGTTCTGAATTTTTCAGATTTGTGACACCATCCCCCCAACAAAATGTTTGTGTGACTGTGAGAACGTCTGTATAGTGTGTGTATAGGTCTAATTCACATTAGTGCACCACAGTGTGAAACTTAGGGGTGTGTTTGTGTGACTTGTGTGGGCAGTGCAGGTATGCCTCACCCCCACAGCCTGCAGTTAAAAACAAGTGCCAGCCTGTGAAAAAAAGAGTTGTCACACCTTTTTTTTGTAATTTTTATTTTTTAACCTGCTGTGATTGGTCGGTGACAAAAAATCAACTAGCAATGTGCTCCAGCTCACCCACGCTGACAAGTCCTGCAGCAGGAAAAAAAGGATGAATGGATTTTTATTTATTGTCACTCTTCTTCTATAGGATAAAACCCACAGGCTAACGTTAACCTACTCTGCTCACCTCAGATCTAAGGGCGCTTCGTTGGTATAATCTTGAGTCTCCATTTCCCAACAGCATTGTGTTGTATTATTCTGTACTGATTTAAGTACAGATGGATAAACTCGACGGCCCTGGCATATAGATACAGTATATGCATTTCAGAAGCATTTATACCCCTCCCAAGTTTCATTTGTGAAACTTTCATGGGCCGTCCGTTGCAGTGACTGTACAATGTGTTCATGGTTTGTTGTGTACTGTAAAACAAAGCAACTGAAATAACGTGCACGGACACCCTCGTTTGTGGCTATGTTCAGAAGTAACATTCACACTCCCGTTAAATGGGAGTCAGCCTCGGTTTCATCATTTTTTAAAAATCAATGTAGAACTTTTTGCCTCTAATTTCCAAAGGTATGTTTGACACAAACATGACACCAAAAGACAACCATACCGACAGTGCTTTCGGACTGTTTTTCTTCAGAACTGGGCCTGAGTCAGGGCAAAGGGAATTACCAAGAGTTCCAAATACCAGCTGGTGTTAAAGAAATACATTTGTCTACTAGAACATCTGAACTTCAGGTGGGGTTGATGAAGGCAAAGCAAGGTAGCTTTAGCTGGAGCCGACTCTTTCCTCCATTTAATTAGTTTTTTTCAAATGGAATTTTGTGTTTAATTGGGATGCCTTTGTGTGGTATTAAAATCGGGGTGATGAGGTAAAAACTTTCAAATGTGATAAATATGCAAAAATAAGAAAAGAGAATTAAATACAGTACATGAAAACAAAAACACAAGTCAGATATGAGAAAATAGTTTTATCAAGGCACTTAATTCATTTGCTGCAGACAGGATTTTTGGAAAAGGTCTGATTCTGATCAGAAGATATTTGATTTTAAACATTTTTGTCTTCTTTGAGCCACTTGAACTGTGTCACTTGAACCATGCAGTATATTTAACCTATAATTCCTCTCCTGGGATGAATAAAATATCTATATACTTCATCTACAGTATTTAGCTCTTTCTGTCTATCTATTGAGCTTTGTTTATCTATCTATCTATCTATCTATCTATCTATCTATCTATCTATCTATCTATCTATCTATCTATCTATCTATAATAAATATTTTACATACATACATAGTTTTTATTTTAGTTTTTTTTATGTTTTTACATTTACATGGCTTTCTAAATAAGATGATATTCTGAGTACGGCTGTGAAAGGGACCAACTGATGACCTGCTTTGATGTCGTGTCTCTTCTGCTGACAGCACTCTGACTAAAATAGAATCTTCTTCACACATACTTCATAAGATGAAAAATATCTCATACTTCTTAGATTTAAACTTCCCTGTATTATAATAGTGCACTGTGGTGAAATAAAGATGAGAAGAAAAGAAATTAAATAAAATTAAATAATACTCATCCATCATATGTGCCTAGCCCTATCAAATGGTTGCTAAAACCAGCGAAATGTCCGTATTAGCAATTATCAATTGACCTGAAAACATACATGCTGATAAGGTAGCGATATCCGCTGTTCTCTGTGTCACCGTGGCCTAGATTTATGGTGGGTGGCCCACTCTGTTTGTGCATGTGGGTGAGTGTATATACACCCCCCCCCCACACTATATATATATATATAGATAGATAGATAGATAGATAGATAGATAGATAGATAGCCCCTCTTTCTGGCTGAAAAAAAAATACAATTCTAGCATTTATACATTTATAATCAGGAAGTGCAGCAGTGTCAATGACCAATTCTTACTCCTTGCACCTTCCCTTCCAAGGACAAACGCCATACTTACACAAGGCCCCTCCTCTGTTGCTAGGTTACTGCTGGGTGTTGCTGTGTAGTCAGTCAGCCCTATTGCATCATTGCTCTGTCACTGCAGTAGGCGGACTACATCGGTGTTCCAAGCTGGAAGAAAAGGAGTCCTGTTTATTAGTGACATCATTTCATCCTTATGTTGTTGCTGGATACATGAAAACACATTTCAGCAGTGGGTTAACATTTCGTTACTGTACTGACCCACAATCATGCTTTAAAGGCAAATATGTAATAATTGCGATTCATTTCATGATTATCATTTTAATCATTTCATCTATTGTGTTGTTTATATATATATATATATATATATATATATATATATATGTACACACACACAGAGAGAGAGATGGAGCTATATACACACTACTTATAAAAAGTGAGGGATATTTGGCCTTCAGGTGAAATTTCAGCACGCGCAAAAAATGCATTCAAACCTTCACAGATGAACTGAATGTGATCACCTCTAAGCTTTTGATTGCACATGTCCAACTGTTAAATGTTTAAGTAATTTTTGCACAAGTTGCTTCATGGCAAAATTTACAACAGATGTTTGATACTTGAATCAACCAATAAATAAAGTCGTGGTTCAATTAGAGCTGGTGTTTTAACAGTCGTCTTCATCATGCTGTTCACATTTTGACATCATGAGGCACCTAACAATAGTCAGAGGGTTGCGTGCAAGTTGTGTGACACACGGTTCATGAATAATAATTTTTTAAAATATGTTTATTAAAGGGCGGCCAGGTAGGCGAGTGGTTAGCACATCGACTTCACAGTGCAGAGGTACCGGGTTCAATTCCAGCTCCAGCCTTCCTGTGTGGAGTTTGCATGTTCTCCCCGTACTTACGTGGGTTTTCTCCGGGTGCTCCGATTTCCTCCCACATTCCAAAAACATGCTTGGCAGGCTGATTGAACACTCCAAATTGTCCCTAGGTGTGAGTGTGAGCGCGAATGGTTGTTCGTTTCTGTGTGCCCTGCGATTGGCTGGCGACCGGTTCAGGGTGTCCCCCGCCGACTGCCCGAAAACTGCTGGAATAGGCTCCAGCACCCCCCGCGGCCCTAGTGAGGATAAAGTGGTTCGGAAAATGAATGAATGAATGAATTTTTATTAAAATAAATGTTCCCACAGTTACAAGAGAGAGCAATGCAACATATCTTTTATTTTATTAAATAAAAATGTCATTTTAACGGTTTTAGTTGAGATTCAGTTTGGTCCTTAGGGCAAGAGCATTTTTGTTATTTGTGAACTATTTTCAAACATTCTTTTCTATTCGTTTTTTGTTTTTAGATTTTATCTCAAGAACTGCATGTTTTTAGTATTTTGTGGATAGATTTTTTTTTTTTTGTTGAGTAGGACGTAAAATGCCCTCTGATTCTGGAATGAACCATATATTGTTGAGATGGAAAGTGGTGCGTGCCATGTTTAAAAAGAGCAGCTTCAGAGAGCTTCAAGATGGAAGATAGAAAATGCAATTTCTCTGATTTTTCGGTTATTCTCTTCTTTGGCTCTGCTGCCCTCTGGTGGAAGTTGTAAAAATACTTGTTTGAACGGTTTGAACTGCAAGTAACTGTTGACTTCAGAATAGAATGTGCTTTTATTTAACCAGGATGAATAATTAAGTGCATATAAGGTTGCATTTTTTTATTTTATTTTTTTTCCACTTTTTAAATTTGAAAGTTCTTCCGCTACTTTTTCATATACAAACGCAAAACAAATCTTTAACATTCAAAGACTCAACATGACCATTGTAATCCCAACCCAAACCCTGACCCTCTCCTTGTCTCTTCTTTTTTCCACATTGTATTTATCCACCCCATGAGCTCTACTGGCCTTCACTCCTTGTTTCCTGTTTGGGTATAAAAGTAAAGTAGGTACAAGTGGTGACTGTTTGTCTTGTCAAATCTTTGGTGCCAATATGCATGCCTATTTACATTATAGTGCATGTTGCAATGGTTCCCGTTGGCAAAGCACAGAAAAATTACAGAAAACTGATTTTTGTTGATCTTGAAGCAATTTGTCCAATTCATCAAGATGCTCGTGTTGTATTACTGCTCACTCCACAGCAAATATCAGCATCTACATGTCCATCGAACATTACTTCAGCAAAAGCAGACAAACCTTTGCATCTGGGCAAGCATCTCTCATGCATGCGGAGATTCATTTGTTGCTAATGGTTTGCACGAAAATCATTACGAATGTGTTCTGAGATTGTTGTTCTTATCAGTTCTTGTTTTGTTGACCTCTCTACAGGTGTGGTCGGAAGAGGAAGAGGAACAGGAAGAAAATGGGGAGTTGAAAGCCCCTGTTGTGTTTTGCGTACAGGCGGAACATGCTGGAACCAGGACATATTATTTCAGCACAGACAGCTATGAAGAGCAAAAGGAGTGGATCACAGCCATGAGCGAGGCTGCAGAGGTCAACGTTAATCCATCCCGCAGGTGTTGCACCTACATATACTGTACACAGAACCAACAAATGAATTATTCAATAATACGTTTCATATGGGCAGCACACATCTGCCTCACAGTTCTGAAGTTTGGAGTTTGAATTTATTCAAATCAGTGCTGTCCAAACAATGGAGCGAGGGGATGGGGGGGGGGGGGGCATTTGCTGTCCATTTTGTAGCAGCCCGCAGTATTTATTGAAATTAAAACCTTGACTGGACCCATGCCGTTTGGCTGCAGTGTACTACTTAATTTCTCCAATGAGTGATAGTGCAAGAGAAGAGAAGAAGAGAATGAAATTCATTCTCATCCCTCACGTTCTTGTTTTCCACATCACTAAAACAATAATGACATTTCTATTCATAACCCGCCATGAATAAAAGTAATTCATTTGGGCAGACCTACGCTCGTGGATTATAGGGCCAACCCCCACCCAGTCCGCTTGGCTCCAGTTCACCTGTGACCCAATAAATGCAAGTGGTTTAGAAAGTGAATGCATAATATAAAAGTGTCTGTCCCTGTATGTGTCATTTAATGAAATTATTGATTTTATTTTAATTGAATTTTATTTCTTTTTCAGATCAAATGCGGCTGTCACAGTGGACCAGGCCATGGTGACAAGAAACACCGATCCGCAAATAGAACTGAAACAACAGATACCACCAAACAAAAATGACAATGGGGTAGACAACTTGGAAACGGCCTCTCTGTCAACTCCTTGTTCTGATCAGGACACAGTGAAGAACAATGGGAGACAAGAAGACTGTGGAGGAAAAACTGAAGATGAAGGTGGGGGGCCCGGTAGTGGCCATTTTCAAACAAACCACAATCCAAATGGTTGGAGTAAGCATTTCCCTCCCAGCTCCACACCCCAAAACTACAACGGTAAACCGCCTCAATCCCAAAGTCACAGCACTTGTACACCTCAAAGACATCCCCAAGCGAGTGTCAACTCACCTAATGACACAAAAGAACAGCACCAGAATGTGGTGTTGAGGAGGGGTTTTGTTCCCAGAACTGCCCCTGAGAGAGTGGCCCAAAGGAAAAGCTCGATGGCACAGCTACAGCATTGGGTCAACCAGCGGCGGGTCATGGTGTCCCAGGAGGACATGAACAGGTATACATACCTTGTTGTCAGAAATATGGGCATATGTGGTTTTTAAAACTTCCAAATGACTTTTGGAGGGTCCCTCCTCCCCTGTTAATAATTATGCATATTGGATTTAAATTGGGGCGGTCCTCACAGTGCAGAGGTACCGGGTTCAATTCCAGCTCCGGACTCCCTGTGTGGAGTTTGCATGTTCTCCCCTTGCCTGAGTGGGTTTTCTCCGGGTACTCCGGTTTCCTCCCACATTCCAAAAAACATGCATGGCAGGCTGATTGAACACTCTAAATTGTCCCTAGGTGTGATTGTGAGTGTGGACGGTTGTTTGTCTTTGTGTGTCCTGTAATTGGCTGGCAACTGGTTCAGGGTGTCCCCCGCCTACTGCCCGAAGACAGCTGGGATAGGCTCCAGCACCCCCCGCGACCCTTGTGAGGATAAGCGGAACGGAAAATGGATGGATGGATGATTTAAGTTAAACCTTTGAATTTTTGTTTTTGGGGGATATGTTTTTGCATATGTTGTTCCTCCTGTCTAATTAGATTATTGATATAACTTTTAGACAGGTTTGATTATTAGTTTACCAAATGAGACTAGTTAAAGGGGAATTTCAAAAGTGAGGTTGTTTAACTTTCTTAAAAAAAATGCAGTACCCAAAGGGGCTTTCTCCTGATGAAAAGTCCATTGCCTTGAAAAAGGAATAAAACATAGGACAAGAACACGTTAGTGGAATCATCGTATTGTTAAAGGTACAGTGTGTAGTGTTTAGTTCCATCTACTGGTGAACTAAGAGAATGCAGTGAACTGAGCTCAAAAGCGGTGCCTTCGAGAAACAACAATTTGCAACCCTACCACCTATTTCTTCAGCAGGGGTGCAAGCATAATATCATTCCAAACGACTTCTAATATTCCCTCAAGTGACAGAGTTCGTGTGTGCCATTTAAATACACATGCTGTAGTCATCATGTTGAATCCGTAGCAGAAGGATGGTGGCGAAACATGGCAGCCTCCGGTCGCCTCCTGTGGGGGAGGAGCGCTCAATCTAATATCACCTACTAAATACGACTTATAAAGTTTTCTGAATCTGAATCTGAAAACCTACGATTACATTTTTAAAACAGTTATGATGATGTAATTGAACATATTGTTTTGCATATGAAATTAACTGAAGGTTTGTGAAATAATGAAAACTGAATAATCAACCATTTCTCACACACTGCCCCTTTAAATAATTTATTTGTGTCGTAACATTTTGAACAGTCGAACAAATGGATACACGCAGCTGACTTTGTACGAAAGTACGAAACATTGTGATACTGTATGTTTATATACATTGTTTTCTACTACTTTTTGTTGTTTGAATTCTGTCTGCTACTGCCAGATTAAAACAAGGCTCATATTGTAAGGGAGATTTGGTTTTAATACCTGACAAATTTAAAACTGTAATGAGTTGTAAATCGCAATGGGATGTCACTTCTGTTCCCTGCTAACAAATGAGGTGAACTAAAATATTTCTGAATGTACTGATGGCTTATACTGTTCAATTCCTGCTAAATAATCAGTGGCAACTATACCATGTTATTCTATACAGTATTTTTAGAGCTGGCTGAATGCCACACATTCACCTCATGATATGGAGAAGTGCTTCTTTACTTCCAATACGTTTTCTCACTCAAAGGCTTAAATCCCATCCGATTTGCTTTGTACCTGTTCTTCCAGTCCATCCCATCATTACCCAGCGAGCCAAGGCTTCAACTACTATGGCTACTCCAGTGGCCCGCAGTATTTGGAGGAGTACCCGCTGTACCCACCAGGAGTCCGGCCTGACAGCATTTGCTCCGTCTCTGCAGTGGGGGGATATGACCACCGCTGGACTGTGGAGGAAAAGCGGCACTCACTGAGGGACGGGCCTCACCAGTTTTATGGTCCACCAACGCCCAGGGACTCTTGGGGACCACATTACTACAATGGAGTTGATAAGTCTATGAGACGCCTGTCCATCCAGCCACGTTCCAGGTCTGTGCCCAGGTCACCATCCTTGTCCTCCCGAGGAGCCTACTCGCCAGTTTCGCACAGCTTTGCCTCACCGGTTCGATCACCGTCGGCACGGTTTGACCGGTTTTCGGGGAGAATGAGGGATGACGTGATCTACGCCGATCCGTCTGTCTATAACCTAAGGAGATCGCTCAGCTCGCCAAAGGTGAGAAGCACAACACTGTCATGGTGGATGATCATATTGAATGTATTTTAAAAAATTAAAAATCAACTGACAGTTACAGCACAATCAACTGACGTTTGTCTGAAATTTGAGGTTGTAGTTTTATAAAGGCGTGAACAATTCAGGCGCAACATCGAAACAACTGAAATGTCTTTATTTAATTTTAGAGTTTTGTTTTACGTAACCGTAGAAAGAGAAGAAAGAAAGAATGAAAGATTAATGTTGTGACCATTTTCACCTTTCCCAAGTCTAACATCCGTGCTGTCATTCTTGCCTCCTTTTTACTCTTTCCTCGTTATCGTCTTCCCTCCCTTTAGTATGACTACTCTGGTGATAGGAGGTCCATAAATCAAGGACTATTCCACCACAACTACCCCGTATCCCCTTCCATCCACCATAAAATGGTATGTGCTGCCCATGTGCTGCAATGCTTTACAATTAAGAGAGCATCACAGAATAAACAGAAATAGTCATGCGGTGGTCGACCCGTTGTTTTGAAAAAAGTGAAGCTTTGCTTCGCAGCTGCAAACAATAAGTTCTATCTTGGCCATCTAGACATCAATTTATCCCAGACGTTCTCTTAAGTATTTTTTTGTACTCAGTTTCAAATATGTTTAAATGTTTCAAGTGCGCACTGTCGGCTTTTGAGAAAACTGAATGCTTTTAGGTGCGCCTTGTAGTGCGGAGAATACGGTATACAGTGAACCCTCGCTATAACACGGTTCACCTTACGCGGCTTCACTGTTTCACAGATTTTTTTAGTGCAGTTTTTTTAATGCTTCTTTTTAAACAGTGAATTGTGTTCTGCATCCTGATTGGCTAAGGGACTGACCAACGTGAACAGTCTCAGCACCTCGTCTCTGTACAGCTTGCCAAATGTACCTTAGCAAATTTTTGGTCTTTGGTTTCATTGTATCAGTGGCGGATGCTGGTCTGTCAAGGAGGGGAAGCTCAATTTCGGCCTACATCATAAAATGTGTCCGTTTATTCATACGTAAATTCTACTCTCCGTTCCTTTTCAAAAAAATGAAAAGGATGCCTTCACCATGTGATTGGCTCATTTCGCTGTCAATCAAAAAGAGATTCAGCCTCAGACAGATCATCCAATCATCATGCAGAAAAGCTGAGCGTCCGGGTCACCCGATAAACGCCCACTGTCCATAGACTCCCAAACCAGCATTTATCTAATGACTCGTCTCGTTTCAATGCACGTCCGCATGGTCGACGCTCAGCGTGCACACAGTTTAAAGCACAGTGAAGCTGTGGGAATGAATGAGAAGAGAGTCGCGTCGTAACCAGTAATAAAAAGCTGATTCGGAACAAAAGTTGAGCGCGTTGTAGCGCATATTTAGTCAATGACATGTCCACACAATTGTACGTACACACATATATTTGATCACTTACTTTTTGACATTTTAGGGGAAGCTGAGCTTCCCTTGCAGTCTTAGAGCAATCGCCTCTGCATTGTATACATAGTTCAGTATTGTATAATTGTAAAAAATAAAGCTGACTACTTCACGGATTTCGCCTATCACGGGTTATTTTTGGAACGTAACCCCCGTGATAAATGAGGGTTCACTGTATATGTAGTGTTTCACCCCTTTTGTACTGAAATGCTGAAATGTAAAATAGACGTTTGCCAAGTCTGGCTTGTGAAAATCAGGTGCCACTGTTTGTTGTAATTTGTGAGGCAGCTGTGTGTGCAAGCATGCCAAACAGATACCCTATGAGTGGCACAAACCACCGTTGGTGATTAATTTGTTGGATGCATTACTTGTACAGTCTCGTCGAGTGTTGTTTGGACATGCAACTCATAGTTATGTTTAATTTAGCATCATTTTCGCTTCATCTTAAATCTTCTTCATTTCATAGGCATTTGACGTTGTTGTAATGCAACGTGCCACCATAATTGATTTCACACTCTGAACTTGAACCAGTACGAGCGAGCTATATGGATTTCTTACATCACATTTGTGTGTCGCATAGCTCATTTCTTTGTCCACTGTCATAGACACGTAATGTAAAGTCTAAGAGGAAGCAGACTGCAAATCCCATACGCAGTTCGGTGAAATCAACGGTGTGGCTATTATGTAATAGGCATTTTTAATTTCCATGGATAGTCCACCATCAGCCAGCTTCTTTCTGCCCCTCAAAGCAGCCCTATTTCCACTCAACAAAAATTGATCACACCAGTCAGGCTGATGCTTTGATGAAAATAAAATTATATGTCTTGAGGTTTTCTCCGGGTACTCCGGTATCCTCCCACATTCCAAAAACATGCATGGGAGGTTATTGGAACACTCCTTAGTGTGAGTCCTTAGGTGTGAGTGTGAAATGTTGTTTGTGCATCCTGCGATTCGCATCTTGCCCAAAGACAGCGGTGATAGACTCCACCATGCTGCGCGACCCTTGTGAGGATGAGCAGATTAAAAATGGATGGATGGATATATTCCTCAAATTGAGACCAAAAAAAGATACAGATGTTTACCCGTACAAGAATAACACACATTTCCTATTTGATCAACTCATATTTGGATTATGGTTTTGCTTTCCAAACAGTGAACTCAAACTTGTTTAAAAAGCATTGATGGAGTTAATATATGCATGACCCTGCATGCCCCTACATCATGCATCAGTCCATCTGTTAATTTAATTGGTTCAGTTTTTCCTTGAGCGTGGGGTAAAATTAACATTTCCTACTCATTCCAGACATCTGGAGTTTTTTTTACTTGTCATCTTATTTTGCACTCCTTTACAAATTATTTTTTGGCATGCAAAAAATGGTGATTAGCAGACAGCCAAGTATTGCACATGTCAAATATTTAATCGGGTTCATATTAAATTTCCTTGGAAAAGTCGCTATTGTTTTTAAACTACAGCACAGTAAATAATTTTAAAGAGTAAACGACAAAATGAAATTGTCTGTCCAGTGAAGGCGACTTGGGTGCTTTGTTTGCTCTGCTTCTGTCTGATCTGAAAATTGTCGGTCAATGCTGCATGTGTCTGTGTGTTCACCTTATTTGTCACTGTTGCTGCTGCTTGGTTCAGGACGACATATTAGATCTCCAGCTCCAACGCAACTTGGATTATTTAGACCAGCAGGTAGGCGCACACATCAGCATTGTTTGTAAAATCATATTCCATTCAGCCATCTTTTATTTGCCCTCTTCCCGTACGAGGAATACTTGAATTATCTCCTTCATTTAAAAGTGAAAGGTTTTCCAGTCGCCTTCAAATCCAGGTTGTTGTGAACGTGAATTTTTTTTTGTTAATTTGAGCTGAATCTTCAGGTGCTGGAGGGAAGCCGGTTATTTGGTATGGTTACCCGAAGGGTGGAGAGGTCCTCCTCTGCAGCAAAGCTCTGCATACAAGTAAGAGAGGAGAGCCAGCGCAGCAGGGAGGCAGGCTTTTCAGATGGCAAAACTGCTTTGTGCAGCAGGTTCAAGGTTCACCAATCATCCACCAGATGGAATCACACCTTTGACTCTGACACTATTTGGTAACTTTCGAGTGAAACGTTGCAGCAACAGAATCAATCCTCATTGAAGGCCAAACGGCAGCAATTCAGCCGATACCGTAATACGCTCTTTCCTAAGCCTGCCTCTCTTTTCGTCGTATTTTTGTCTGCATGCAGTGTTCTCCTCATAACTTCACCGTTGTTTCTTTCTTTTTTTTCCACATAACTGTGACATTTGTCCTGTCATTTGTCACATTTGCTAAAATCCGAAATAGTTCGTTGATACAAATCCAATTCCAGTGAAGTTGGGATGTTATGTTCAACAAAAATAAACAGAACAGCAATGATTTACAAATCATGTTTGACCTATATTTAATACACGACAAAGGCACGATAGTTCATGTTCAAACTGATCAAATGTATTGTTCTCAGCAAACAATCATAACATTTGAATTGGATAGCTGCAACACGTTCCAAAAAAGGAACTGCAGGCAGGCCAGTTTAGGATCCACACTCGTTGACTATGAAGCCATGCAGTTGTAAGACGTGCAGAATGTGGTTTGGCATTGTCTTGCTGAAATAAGCGGCCATGAAAAAGACGTTGCTTGTCTGGCAGCATATGTTTCTCCAAAACTTGTATGCACCTTTCAGCATGAATGGTGCCTTCACAGATTTGTCAGCTACCCATGCCCTTGGCAATAACACAGCCCCATACCGTCACAGATGCTGCCTTTTAAACTTTGCGTCCATAACACTTTGAATGGTTCTTTCCCTCTTCGTCCACAATTTGTAAAACCTATTTGAAATGTGAATTCGTCAGACCGCACGACACTTTTCCACTTTGCATCAGTCCATTTTAGATGAGCTCGAGGCCCAGAGAAGCAGGTGGCGTTTCTGGGTAATGTTGACGCTTTGCATAGAGGAGTTTTAAGTTGCACTTCGGGATGTAGCGCCAAACTGTATTCACTGACATGGGTTTTATGAAGTGTTCCTGAGACCATGTGATGATATCCTTTACACCATAGGTGTCAAACTCAGGTCCTGGAGGGCCGCTGTCCTGCATGTTTCCCAAGTCTCCCTGTTGCAACACACCTGATTCAAATGATCAGATCATCAGCAAGCTCTGCGGAAGCCTGACATCGAACCTGTTCATTTGAATCAGGTGTGTTGCAACAGGGAGACTTGGAAAACATGCAGGACAGCGGCCCTCCAGGACCTGAGTTTGACACCTATGCTTTACACATTGATGTCGGTTTTTGATGCATTCCTGCCCGAGGGATTGAAGGTCACGGGCATTCAAAGTTAGTTTTTGGCTTTGCCGCGTTGATGAAGTGATTTCTCCAGGTTCTCCGAACCTAATGATGATATGGATATGATGAAATCCCTACATTCCTTGCAATTGTACATTGAGGAGCATTGTCCTTAAACTGTTCGACCATTTTCTCATGCAGTTGTTCACAAAAAGGAGAACCTTGTCCTATCTTTGCTTGTGAATGAGTGAACATTTCAGGGAAGCTCCTTTTATACCAAATCCTTTTAAACCAAATCATGGCACCCACTTGTTCCCAGTTAGCCTGTTCACCTGTGGCATGTTCCAAACAAGTGTTTGATGAGCATTCCTCAACTTTCAACTTTTTTTTTTCCTTGCCATCTTTTGTGGAACTTGTTGCAGCCATAAAATGCATGACGATTTGCTGAAAACCATACATTTGATCAATTCGAACATGAAATATCTTGTCAAGTTCAAGTCAACTTTTTTTTGTCAAATGTGCTCTATGTGCAACATACATCACAGATGAAATTTATTTCCTCTCAACCACGGGAGAGAGAGGAGCCGCTGCTGTTCCGCGATCAACAGAACAGTTAACATAAAATAACAAAATAATACAACACAACACATACGGCACAGACAGTCATGCAATCTTAACCGCTTTTTCTGGATACACGTTGTTGTTTGAAGCAGTTAGAGATGAAAGAGGAGAGACTTAAAGTGTCCTTTCACCAGTGGATCAGAGACGTCATGCTGAAAAAGTGCACACGTCTGCTACAAGCTAAGTTTGAAATCAAACAAGAAGCTGTAGCTTGTCTTTGTAGTGCATTCAAGTAAATATAGGTTGAACATGATTTGCAAAACATTTTATGCTGTTTTTATTGATGTTTAACACAACAGCCGAACTTCACTGAAATAGGGTTTGTCTGTGCATGGCTTTGTGAATAAAAACGGGCTAACATTTGTAAAGACTGTACTAGACTTTCAATATTTTTCTGAGAAGTCATTGTTAGAAGACCTCTTCTTAGTTGAATCTCATTCAATATGAAAAAAATATATATATGAATTGGGTATTAGGTTTTAGCCTGTCATGTAAATGTATGATTGATAGCTGATAACAACTGCAGGTTTGGAGGGAAAGAGTCACTGGGAGCCGAACATTTGGAATTATAACTCATAGACTAACTAATAGAGCACTTTAATTACACTATACTTCAGGCACGGGTTTCAATGAATGTTAATCTACAGAAAAGAATGACCACAAAGAAACATCATATTTCATCGTCACACAAGGCTTCTGACCCTTTGCATAAATCTCCACTCAACTCAACTGTATTTATAGAGCACTTTCAAACAGCCATAGCTGCACACAAAGTGTCCACAACTCATCAAATCTGGCAGACCGATAGCATATATCATCGTTCTGAGATGAGGCTCCAAAAATTAGCTCTGTTTGCGGGTTGTTCGTGATGAGTTTATTGTGCGACCTCAGGATTGATTATGACTGAGGGGGGAAAAATGTGAGCACTTTTATGGCATCAAATGTACCTGTATAAACCTATCAGTAGAATGAGAAAGGCTGCCTAACTGCACGCTGTGGCCTTACCACAACATTGCACTCCATGACTGGCGGCATAAACGATGTGTAGATATTTTGACCCATGGTCCCCCCCTGCCCCCCCCCCCTCCCCTCCATAAAAGTATCTAAATTCAGTCACAGCCTGGATTTTTTTTTTTTGTCAAAATGAGATTATCCTCCCTCGTGTTTTTTTCTGTATTAGATTACTAAAACCCAGTCTAGACACGAAAATCATTTTCCTTGAGATTATGGCTCCGAATAGTAAGTGTTTGGGTGCATCAATGTGCTTTTGACCTCTTGTTCTAATTCTACCCTGAGAAGAAGATTGCATATTTTACAGAAGCCCTTGTTTGATTTAAAGCTTAACTGCCAGCCTTGCATGCATACAGACACACAAGTACTGATGATCTTTTCCTCCCAACATATATCTGAAATACATTATTTCACAGCCACTTGTAAGCAACTCCATTGTCAACTTGACTCGTTTTATTAGCCCTTCATCTCACTTTACATACAATAGTCCGCTTTGTGTTTTTACAGTATATGGTTTTGCTGTTTTTGCTGTGGTGATGGTTGATTTCAGATGAAGTCGCTTTCCGTACCATCAAGCACCCCACAAAGTTTTGTAAATCATTTTTATCTACAAAACAATGTTATTTAACTCATTACATTCATTTTCTGTCAATAAATGTATTTTTAATTTCAACATAGACCATGTTGACCGCCATGCTACACATTACATTGTACAGACTAAGTTTTCTAATTTGTCTGTTTTCATCAACAGTTTTATCTGTTTACTCGCGTGTTTGTTTTTGTTTGTGTAATGGGGAACATTCCATATATCCTTGAAATAAAATGTGTTTTGAAATTAAATGGATCTTGAACATAATGAGGACTTCAAATTGGAGACTGTATGAAATAATTTTAGGATTTACCACAAAAACAGATACAATGGTGCTTTCAGATACAAAGTTTAAGCCGCATGTTATTAAGAAAGAAAATATCACTTTCAAAAAGTATACTATATCAAAACAGACACATAACAAACTAATTAAACGCAAATAATTAAACCATTTGTGCAACATGATTGGATGCAACAATTCAATTCATTGTGCTGCTCCTGATGGCTACCATGGGGTGTAGTCCTGCAGACAAAAATGAAGAAAATAGTTTTACATCTACTTTAAGTGGCACTGAAAGATTTAACATGTGTGGTTTTTCATGGGGAATAAAGAATATATGCCTGAGAGTATTCTTATATGGTCAGTCCATATATGTGTTGCTCCATTACTGAAAGGGTTCTAAATCGATTGATGCTAATCGATTAGCATGTGAAAGGCATTATCCATTGCTCTGTTAGGATTAAGCTGGTGGAGCCTTTTTGTTGGCAGTTGTCTGGTTGTTTCAAAATTTAAAAAAAAGAGTAATTCTCTTTGTTTTTTATTTAGTTTGACACTAATTTTCGAGGCATTATGCTGGGTTCATACTGAACGTGAAATATGGTTGCTCCTCACATGGCTCCTCCTTCTCTAACAGAAAAAAAATATTAGAATAATATGTTTGAACATCGTTAACCAATCAAGTGGCTAGTAGTTGTGCCTAAACTTTGGATGAGGCGAAAGGCTATCTTAGTTCACTGTTCGACAGCCGCCAAATGCCTTGCTCACCATTCTCCATGCCTGCCACTTTTTGGTTTGGTTCTGGTTGGTATTGGAAGCTGGCTGTGCTGTTGCCCTTAGCAAAAAGTACTTTATTCAAGTATATCGAAAGGAAAGTATTTTACACAAAACAGAGGCAATGTACTTTAAGTGTACTTTTAAAAATCTATATTTTGATAAATTTCACAGACGTATGCTTAAGTATACCTGGCTTTGTACTGAAAAGAATACAGGCAAATAGAGTATACTTTTAAAACTTAATTTGTTCCAATTTAGTATGAAAACGTACATTTTATATGCTTGTACTTGAGTATACTTTATAAAATATACTTCAAATACTTTTTCATAAGGGTGCCCACAGTTTGGAATGATTATGTCCACTTCTCAACCCTGGCTGTTGCTAGTTAAAATGTTCAAACACGAGTGAAAAGGCGAAGAAGCACATTTTCACGTGCCCGTTCCCACTCGCATCGTTTTGAAACACCCACCAAAAAACCCGGCAATGATTCACACCGATTCGCGCAAACCCCATTCACTTTAAATGTAATCGCGCCACGAGAAATGCTCAACTTGGATTTGGTCAGCATTCAACAGCTTGAAGCCTCTTTTTGATGAATCGTTCACTATTTGCCAAGCTGCTGTTTGAGTTTAATTAAGTGAGTTCACTGGCCACCATGCATTGCTCTACTTTCTTCATACAGTCTCAATTTGTGCTTGAAAGTTAAAAGTCTGGATGACGGCTTGATCTAAAAAAACTTAAATCAGGGACCTCATATCTTAAGGCACCAATGTACCATGTTTTAGAAAGCAGAAAATCGTTCCCACATTGCAGGGGTTTTATTTGGTTTATGCAATATCCCAGCTTTTTTTTGTTTTTTTTTTTAAATAAAAGCCTTCCATTTATGCTGAGTGTCAACATTTATGTCCTTGTTTTTACAGGTGCCTCCTTTCCATGATGTCTACAGAGAGTTACACCCAACACTGAAGCTAAATGAAATCGAAACGAGTGTAAGTATCATCACTTGACCACTATAAATGAACTTGTACATTTTCAAATAGAGTTCCTGGGTAAAACCTAATAGACACACATTTTGGGATACCGGGCCTTGAAATGAAAATGGAATAACACACTGTATTAACTAGGTTTCCAACAAAAGTACAAAAGTTTGTGTGTGTGTGTGTGTGTGTGTGTGTGTGTGTGTGTGTGTGTGTGTGTGAGAGAGAGAGAGAGAGAGAGAGAGAGAGAAAGACAGTACTCTACATTTGTTTTCATCACAGCTTTTTTTGTTTGTTTGTTTGTTTGTTTGTTTGTTTGACATGTTGCCTGACACAGAAACTCTTGGGCCGGCTCTGTGAACAGAATCACATTGTGAAAGATCACGAAGCAGTTGTCCACAGATTACGAATGGACAAGGTAAAAAAACATATATACAGTCAAACCTCGGTTTTCGAACGTCTCTGTTCTCGGCCAAATCGGTTTTCGACCAAAAATTTCAAGTTTTTTTTGTGCCTCGGATTACGACCGAAAATCGGTTCTCAACCAAACTGAGCGCACTAGAATGTGCCACTTGACTCCTCTCGTCTTCCTTACACGAGGAAGTGACGCTTCCTCATGTAGCGTTCTATTGTGAGCAGACGTGTTCAATAAAGATTTTTTTAAAAAGAGCGTGGTTTCGGTTTTCGAACAAATCGGTTTTCGAACAGGCTTCTGGAACGGATTATGGTCAAAAACCGGGGTATGACTGTACTTCATGTTGTGACCCGAACCAGTGGACATTCATTTGCTGCTTTCTCATGAACAAAGACTGTGGAAAACATACAGAGTAAAAAAAAACCCATATATAAGCACATATATTCTCTCTGAATTTTCGCTTTCCCATATTAGACATGGTCATGTAGAGTGAATAATTCACTAAAATAGAGGTTAATTCTTTGATCCAAACACGCACAATTCACGGCGGAAGAGAGATTAGGAGAGAAGAAGCGAGAAGAGATAAAAAGGAAGCTCTTTTCAAATTAGCCACCCCTTAAATTTCAGATGAGATCCAATTATTTTGTTCATTTTAGCAAGAAAGCTACATTTGACTTTATTTTTTCTTTTCCTTTTAAACCTTCATGTGTTTCACAATTTATAACTTTCACGCCTATGCTGGAAACATTAAACTCAGACGATTCAGAATTGGCCCTGCAATCAGAATATATGTCTGACTTTCTATCTATCTATATCTATGTCAATATCGATATCTATACATACCTCTCTCTCTCTCTCTCTCTCTCTCTCTCTCGCTCTCTCTACACACACATACATACACACATATACGGTTTTGGTATAATGATGACCAGGTAATAATTATTATCATGGCCTAACGGATTAATCAAAGTTAGCAGGATAAGCACAGTCAAACGTTACACAAGCATACCTTCACAGATGTTGCATTTCAATGCAGTTGTCAGATTAAAAAAAAAAAAAAAAAAAAAAAAAAAAACAAACGACATAGAGATGGTAGTTGCAATTCTCATGCCCATTACTTGGGGTCACACTTGGACCAGCAATGCCCTGGGGTGGAATGCAGCTGGGTTGGTGTATGAGTTGTCCTGATGCAAGAATGTCTTTGCAAGGAGGATTTGAATACACTACAAGTTGTCTATAGAGACTTTTGCAGCGACAAAGTAAGTCTCCTTATTAGGAGTCTTCGCTTTCCTGAGAATTAGCAGACCAAGCAGAGAGAAGAGGTTCCATGGTGGTTCAATTACTTTGATGTTCGTCGGAAATAAACATGACATGGAGGTGTGGAATGGTTGGTGATCTTGGGAATGGAGAGACATTGCCCATTTGCTGACTATCCATTACAAAAAGGGTTGAAATCAAACCTTCTTAGCGCTCCATTTGTTAACGCATTGCTGTTGTGGTTGTTTTTTTAGGACAGCCTCGAGGAGGCGTTGGTGGCTACTCATCAGGAGATGGAGAAGTACCATAACCAGCCTGTGGTCTTGGAAAAGCTACATATCAAAAAGGAAACCCTACAAAACCAGCTCATCAACATCAGAGGGGAGCTTTCCCAGGCCTCAAATGTAAGACAAACATGACATGCCAGATTGTTTGTTTTACATAATAGTTTGTTTTGAAAAATGTTGAGGTTATGGATTGGGTTTCATCCTTGGCATATCCCCTACGTGTGTACATAAGAACATGCCTCAACTGAATAAACAATGCAATCAGAGAGTAAGTTTACACTGTCCTTACAGTCTTTAAATGCCACTCGTATGGAATTTGAAGCTTTAGAAGATGAGGCCCATGCCATTCACGGAGATCTATGGGAACAACTTAATGCAGGCGTCCAGGTAATTTGGTAAACCTTTCTGCTTTAACGTTTCAACGTCGTTTTGTCTAAATGTTGACTGGTGGAGGCCCTTTCTGTGAGGCTATCCATTTCCTTTCATTCATTTTTCATTTATTTTATTTTCTTGTTTTTGGGGGGAGCAGAGCGAATTGGTTCGAAGGCACATCCAGAAAGAGTTTTGGAGAGTCCAGGATGTACTAGAGGGCCTACATAAGAATCACTCATCCAGAGGCACTGATACAGCAAAGCACAAAGGTATCATCCAAAACAAAACGAAGTGGTTGACGACAACTGCAAGTGTCTCAGTATAACTTTTCTCACTCTCTTCGTCTGCAGTGGCCAGTGGCGCGTCAGGCTCCTTTAGCACCAATAGTCCAGCCAGTCCCCTCAGCTCAGTAAGCCTCACCAGCCCTCTCAGCCCTTACTCCCCAGTGCCCGGGTCCCAGGTCTCCCCCTCTAAACAGCTGGGCCCGGAGGTAAGCACCGGACACACCCAGCAAGGGGTCAATCCTTTTTCAACACCTGTCTCACACTGTAGAACCAGATCTAGCCCTAAACCTCGTCCCAAATCTTGTGTAATCCCTCATTTCAACACTGAAGCCAGGCCCAAATCAAGACCAAAAAGTTATCGAGAATCTGACAAAAGCCTGAATGCGGAACATCGAAATAAAAATAGCTGTGAAACCCGTGAATGCACATTTCCTCGTTCTGCCCTAGTTTTGCAGAGTCCGAACGAGTCCTTGGCAAGATTGGATACTGTGATTGAAGAAACGGATCCAAGTGTCACATGCAGAAAGAACTCACACATGAGCAAGTTTCTAAATCCTTACGAACCCAGAGATGTTGACTTTCTCCAAGTACAATGCCAGGACTCTACTTCCAGTCCACATTCAAACTTGGCACAAGCCCACATGCAACTCCAAGATTTTGGTTGGTTAACCTCAAATATGTGCAGCCAAGAGGTTAAGGTTGGCCAAAGAAAAGATGTATTTCCTGACTCCATCCATGCATCTCCCTTGTTCGTAGGATATCCAAATGATCAGAGAAACTTCCTAGCCAACAGGCATTTTTCTATGCCTGAATCCCAGATCCTGCTTTTCCAGGACATCTTTCAAACTAATGTGTTAACATCATGCCATGGTCCGGATCTCCCACTTTCTTATTTTAGAGGTGATCACCCTGAAAGTCCACACCACCACCAATTATTCCATTCAACTTGTAATGCTCAAATAGATGCTAAGATTCTCCCTCTGCCCCATCATCAAACAGAACATCACACTGATCCAATGATTTGTTTGGTACCACAATCTGATTCACCCACCCAGCCTTCAGATAAAGTTTTTATGCAGACTCATCTATAAAAAAAAATATTGAACCTGATTATTCTTAGATTCTCATCCTGGTTATCCCGATCACATCCCATCTTTTAAAAAATATATGACCTTTCAACTACCGTTCTACTGTACACTGATTATGTGATAGTCAACCCATGAAATGAAAATCGTAAACACATTCACATTCGTATGTATGTTGTCTGTACAGTGTCCTTGGGTGGCATGAAAGGCGCTTTTAAATAAAATGCATTATTATTATTATTATGTTTTATAAACATTACTATTTGGTAGCAGTGTAATTCAGATTGATAAATTCATAGAGCATATACATATATAATCACGTGTTAACAGAAAATCACTTTAACGCAACTTTTTAGTGCACTTAATTTATCTGCTTCATAGTTGTAAGGTATATTATAACAGTATGGTTTGTGTGTGTGTGTGTGTGTGTGTTGGTTGCGGGCGTGCTGGACCTTATCGCAGATGTCTTGAGGCAATAGGTGGGGTACACCCTGAACCGGTTGCTAGCCAATCATAGGGCACACAAAGACGGACAACCATTCACTCTCACAATCACACATAGGGACAATTTAGAGTGTTCCATCAACGTTCCATTTTTTGGAATGTGGGAGGAAACCAGAGTACCTGGAGAAAACCCATGCAGGCATGTGGAGAACATGCAAACTCCACATAGAAAGGCCGGACCCTGGAGACGAACCCCTAACCTCTGTACGGTGAAACGGAGGTGCTAACCAGTGAAAGAAAGAAAGCTAGATAGATAGATATGTATGTCCAGTTTTTAATGAATGAATGTTAAATCATGTCGGACACTGGTCCTCCAAAGTAAGTCAACCACTGGTGCCGGTCGCAAGACGATTTGGTTCAACACATTCCAGGATAATTGAACTCATGGCCGGCAACCAGTTCAGCGTGTATTGTACTTGAAGACGGCTGAGATATGCTGCAGCACACCCGCGACCGTGAGGATAAGTGGTTGGATAATGGATGGATAGAGAGATGTAAATGTTGGTCAGAACTTCTGTTCGTGTTTTGGCCCGCAGAGACAACACATCATTATTAGAAACTAATAGGAATTCAAAGTCAGGTTTCCCATTGCTATGAGCGAATGATCCCAATGATCCCTTGGAACATACTTGTTTCCTTACCTCTTTCTACTCTGCATTTAGCTGGCTTGTTATCACTCCCTCTGATGCGCAGACTTCTCTTGCTTCAACCCTCTCTATTTTTTTGCTTCCTTTCTACCTTGCTATCCCCCTGGCCTTCTGGTGATCTAGGAAAGTGCACCCCCAAGACCCCCCCTCCCCAAGTCCTATTTCCCTTTGGAATCTTCCACTTCCTTCCCCCCTTCTATCTCCCCGCTGGCCTTCGACAGCACCATCTGGCTACGCAACTTGGGCATCGATGATGGTTACTTTGATGTTGAAGATTCTCACATCAGAAAGGTATTTGGTAGATACGGCCTTTGCTCTGCCCCACCCTCAAATGTTGTTCAGTCTCTTTTTTTTGTGTATCCATCAATTTTAACCTGACACCACGGTCTCTCGGTTTAACCTATTGCTAAATATTATACCCTTTGGTGTCAGTAACTTAACCAAAATACTTGTTGGTGATCACGAATCAAATCATGCTAGAACAATGTCAAACCATGCTAATCATATACTGTATGTGCATTTCATCTCTATTTTCAAATGGAATGCAATTTCATATGAAGGCTCTCCATGACGGAAGTTAGGTATCTACTTCCCGGTTATGAAATACGTGGAGCACAAGTGGCAATTTCATTACTCACCAATACAAAATGCATACATTTGTCGGGAAGCATTTCCTGTGCATTAAGAATGCGTTAGCACAGCAAGTTAACGTAAACCATGAAGAGCTACACTGCCTGAGATGGTGTAATCAGGCTAACGTGTTATGCAAGCAGTGCATTGCTGGCCCCACTCATTCACTCCCAAAGACGTTTTTAAATGTATTTTCAGACTTGGTCTAGAATTGGCTGGTACTGAATGAGTTAAAGTACATTGTAGATATTCGATGAAAATGAATGCATGAGAAAAGAATTACAACCTTAACAATTTGCAAGCAGATCTTTGAACATTCTAATCTAGAAGGCATGTTTAAGTAAGGTACAGTTTAGTATGTCAGTCTTCTCTCTTACAGATGAAGTTTGGAGATCAGAACTATATGAGTGATCCACAAGACCAAGGCCCGGAAAGGCAATCCACCATGAATAATAAAGGTACAACAACAATTTTTCAGTTGAGGTTTTCATATGAGAACCTAAACGACTGAGTCCAACTCAGCTGATGATTATTGTCATGTGGTTGGTACAGGATTACTCATGGGACATGGGATTACACTGCTAACATGCCCTCTGGCATGTTTGAATGCCAGATAAAAGAAAAAATCAAAACGCATCATAATTGTGCTTGGTCATGCGTGAGACTATCATGCCTTAAGAGTCACGTAATCTCCTTTCCCACGGTTGTGACCAAATCTCATCTCACTTTCAGTTGGTATTGTCCCTCCAAGAACCAAGTCACCCGCTGACGATTCAACGAGCTGGTCTGCTGGAATTTCTCGTCATAATGGGAGAATGCCTAATGGGATTTCTAGGGTAAGTCAAGCAACACTAACAACACGTTATGTCTTGCTCGACGCTTGAAATAGATTCTGTCAGGTGGATCTCAGTCCATGGATTCAGTTGGAAGCAATACAGTAGGGGAAGGACCAACACGTTTTGGGTCTCCCTGGCAATGAGTTTATATCTTCAGGTGAATACCATGACGGGTCAACCGAGAAAATAAAAAAGCTGGAGATATAATAAGAACATGTTCACTGTTAACCCTTACCGTAACTACAGTGGACAGCTTATCATTTTATCAGGTTGCCGGGTGCATCAGAATCAGAACCAGAATCATCAGAATCAGAATCATCTTTATTGGCCAAGTATGGACAACACACAAGGAATTTGTCTCCGGTAGTACAGGCTACATTAGTATTATCAATAACAAGCAACTACAGTAAACTACCATGAAAGGGTTAAGTCAGTAGGTTACACTGTGACATTCCCCTTTGTCCACTTTGTCCATGGTGTCCACTCTGATGTCCCCCAAGTGAATTATCCTTAAGTGGGAAAACATGTGAGTCTCCGCTTGATCGATGATCAGCATGTTTTCTTGTTCCTCCAAATGTGCATTTTTCCAGCATTTATGAGCAACCTCAATTTATTAGATACAATTCGGAAAAACATACCGGTATATCATTTATACAGTGTAAAGCTGAGGGAACATACTGGAGACAAAACAAAGAAGTGCATTGAAACTAACTATCGGTTCAGAGAAAAGACTCTAACAATGCCAAAATCTCGGCAAGGGATATATTTTTGTTCTGCTGTGCTTAAAATTTTATTCAAGTTGAGTACCCTCTTTAATTTATAAAAAAAAAAAAAAAAAAAAAAAAGAAACTGCAATTCAAATTTGGGACATCCAGGGCCCTCTAAGAATGTTACAATTTCTACAAATGTTATCACAAGTTATTCTCGATTCCCTTTAAAACTTTTCACCCAAAATGAATATCAAACTCTATAGAGGAAGCATACATGGAGAGACATTTTTTCTGTTTATTCTTCTCTATTCTGCAATTGGCTGGCAACTGGTTCAGGGTGTCCCCTGCCTACTGCCTGAAGACAGCTGGCATAGGCTCCAACACCCTCCACGACCCTTGTGAGGATGATGCGGATGGGAAAATGGACGGATGGATGGATTCTTCTCTATTCACATCGCATTTGTGCAGCCACATATTGCAACACGGAGTTCATATTGTCCATGGATAATAACACCATTGCAATGGATATGACAAGTCACCTACCAAATTTATATTTGTAAACATGGAAACTAGAAAGCTGTGTAGGGGTGAAAAACAGCAATTGTTTAACTAAGGAATTATGTCAAATCGTTCTGAGCCATTGCCCAAATTTTGGCCATAGCCTGGAATGTCTTGATGAAACCACTGTTGTACGAAAATGCAGACGTTAAACACGTACACTGAAGAAAAGAGCAGCAGGCGATGACGGAAACATTATCAAACGGTAAACAAAGAGCCAAAACAATTGTTCGTGACATCAGTAACATCCAGAAGGGAGGAGTGAAGGTATCACATTCTACTGTACGCAAAAGACTTGGGGAACAAAATTACAGAGGCTCCTGAAAGACGCAAACCACTAATTAGTCAGCGGAAAAGGAAGACCAAAAAATGCTGTACTTTTATGGATGGATAAGACAAAAATCAAGTTTGACCAATGCTATGGAAAGACATACATTTGCGGAAAAGAAAAGGATCTATTCAAGAATTTGACCGTACAAGCTCAATTCATCCATCCATTATCCGAGCCGCTCATTCTCACGAGATTCGCAGGCACGCTGGAGCTTATCCCAGCTGACTTCGGGCGGTAGTGAAAAACATGGCTTGAAATTGCATGGCTTGTTGTAGTACAGGCCCACTGATTTTCACTTGTATATATCATAGAATTCACATTAACAAAATGTACTCGCAAGTAGAGAGAAACATTTTGTTAGACAATTCAAAGAACAGAGCAACCAAGGTGTTTGGTACATCATTCATCATGAGGCAAGATAATGGTCGAAGTGCACTGCCAAAACACCAGTTTGTCAATGTAAATAGGTGGATGGTTTGAGACTGGCACCAGCTTGATAATAAACCCCACAGAGCAATGGTTCAGAGCTGTTGTCACCCTGGGATCCGCATATTCCTGTTGTTGCAAAATAGCGACTCATTTTATAGAGGTTAAGTACAATAGAGCATGTTTGGTTTCATAATAGACTCTGATAATACATGTACAGTATGTTTTCAAATGTGTTTGAGATGCCACGAAAAGCACATTGCTAGCTATGACATCTGCTAGCGTCTCGGTCTCACCGCACTTGTCAGGCACAAATGTTTTCAGTCCGTAGTAAACGTAAAATAACTGGCTTCGCTGTTCCAGTAATTTCGGAAGGCAGTGTGTGTGTTATTATTGCATTTTTCTCTTTTTACATTTGAGCAGAGGTTTATATTCATAAATGCTAAAATGAATAGAATTGAAACATTAAATATACAAAATAAAACAGTACATTATTTGGATAGTTTAAATACTTTCTAAGTCCACGACTCATTATGGCATTTAGGCATCCATACATTTTCAACAACACTTATCCAGATCAGGGTCGCTGAAGCCTAACACAGCTAAATTCGGGCGAAAAGCCAACGATTCCCTGAAATGGGTGCCATATTCAAGATAATTGTGACTATTGGGATGTCAAAATTCATGTGCAGCTCCGAATCAATGTGTTTTTTTTCTCTTTGACAAAGGAACGTCCAAAGAGTGCTGTGTTTCCAGCTGAGCTAAGGTCCAAAATGAGTGTGGAGGAACAAAATGAAAGGATCCGACGCAACCAGAGCAGCTCCGTACGAGACAAAAGGAGGAGTCTTAATCTCTCAGGCGGGCAGTCTCCAGCGAGCTACAAAGTGGTATATACAATAATTTTGCCTGTTGCTCGTGGACAATGAAAAGAGAAACCTCGGTTATGTGATTGGACTGTTTTGTTATATCCGGTACAAGGTGTTCTTAATATGTCGCTTGTGTCGGGCTGAAACCTGCTTTGTCAATATTTGGTAATTTTCATATTTTTTCCACAAATCGATACAAGTGGTCAGTTCACATAACTGTGTGTGTGTGTGTGTGTGTGTGTGTGTGTGTGTGTGTGTGTGTGTGTGTGTGTGTGTGTGTGTGTGTGTGTGTGTGTGTGTGTGTGTGTGTGTGTGTCAAATATTTGGCCAATCTAAAGTGTTGAAAGTGGCTTGCGCTCTTTGGCGATGCAACGTTCATACGCAGTTGGTCTCCTGAAAAGTGCTGATTTTAGAGGAGCAAGGATTCTTCCCAAAGACAGGGATGTACAGGGTACAATGAAATAGTCAGACGATCAAATCATTGCGGAGCAAAATGTGTTGATTAGTGTCATAAAGCTTGCTGTCATCTGCAGGTCATAAGTCCTCAAACCGGATAATGACACAAAACACGCTGCTAAAAATACCCCAAAGAACGTTTAAGAACAAAACAGTAAACTATTCTGAAGAGCCCTGATCAGATTTCCATCGGACGTCTGTGAAAGGAGCTGAAATTTGCAGTCTGGAGCAGTCGCCTTTCAAAACTGAGACAGCTTGAGCAGTTCGGTCCATAAACAGTCCAACTTTACCAATACATATCAGTGTGTCAGAGGCTGCAGATGCTGACTATGCCTTCGAAACAACACTAACAGGTTGAATCATTTTGTGGGTTGTTAACTGAAAGTAAAAACAATAACATGAGCAATAATATACAGAAAAATAATGTGTGCAGATTCGACGGCGGCTCACAGCTCATGAGATTGACATCAATGATTTAGAGGCAGCAGTCAGGGGACCGGGACTGGAGTCACCTCGTGAGGAAATTGCCCGTTTGAGACGGTCACAGGTTGAACCAGAACATTATGACCTGGACATTAACAAAGAGGTAATGTCCCCTATTTGCTTTCTGAATGAATTGACTACATTTTATATCTATATCTATCTATCTATCGATAGATAGATAGATAGATAGATAGATAGATAGATAGATAGATAGATAGATCATACACACATATGATCTGATGCTTTTTTTCCACTTTGGTGCACAATGCATGTGTCGAAAATACAGTGCAGTTACAGGACAGTCCTTTTATAATGATATAATTCAATGTAATTCCTAGCTAATGGCTCCAGACAAGGTTATGATCCCAGAGCGCTACCTAGATGTGGAAGATAACACCCCTCTGAGCCCAGAGGAGCAGAAGGAAAAGCAGAAGAAACTTGAGCGCATTAAGACCCTGATTGCCAAATCCAAGTATGTATTTTACAGAATTTTAAAAATTCCATTTGAAATTACCACAATCTAACCAAATCCCTACAAGCATTTACTTCCCAACTGCTTTGTGTTGTTCTGCAATCACTGACCAAGAAGGTATTCACAATCATAGAATGAAACTACGAAACTGGACTGTGGTTGTACAATAGAATTGTGAGAAGAAAATAAAAGAACTGAGATGCGACATTTCAGATCAATCTCACCTTTTTGTTCTCACTATGCTCATCGATGTCAGTCTGCAAAATGTTGTTCCTGCCCTGGATGGCCCTGTCGAAGGTGGAGCACCAGTCAATTCTCAGCAGCAATTGCAGGAGCAGGAGAAGCGCATTGAGATCTCCTGTGCTCTGGCTGCTGAAGCCTCTCGTCGCAGCCGCCTTCTCTCGGGTGAGGACGATCTCCCCACTTTACCAGGCTTCGTGAATATTATATTTATTATTTTGCACATGTTGGTTTCAGCGTTGCCTTGAAAATATTGCACTTTCACTACTTGGCTGCCTGTTTATTTATTTATAAGATGCTTGGCTCATTGAGTAATCTTTGTAGTTATCTTGAAGCTACACATGAATGTGTTTATCCAGTTATCCATCCATCCATTTTCTACCGTTTATGCGGGGTAGGGTTGTGGGGGCAACAGCTTTAGTGAGGAAGCCCAGACTTCTCTCTCCCCGGTCACTTCTTCCAGCTCTTCCCAGGGGATCCCGAGGCGTTCCCTGGCCAGCTGGGAGACATAGTCTCTCCAGCATGTCCTGGGTCGTACTTGGGGTCTCATGCCGGTGGGACATGCCAGGAACACCTCACCAGGAAGGCGTCCAGGAGACATCCTAATCAGATGCCCGAGCCACCTCATCTGGTTCCGCTCGACGTGGAGGAGAAGTGGCTCGACTCTGAGCCTCTCCCGGATGACCGAGCTTCTCCACCTTTTCTCTAAGGGAGATCCCGGAGGAAACTCATTTCCGCCGCTTGTATCCGGAATCTCGTTCTTTCGGACCCTTAGCTCGTGACCATAGGTGAGGGTTGGAACGTAGCTCAACCGGTAAATTGAGAGCTTCGCCTTTTGGCTCAGCTCCTTCTTCAGCACGACAGACCAATACAAAGGCTGCATCACAGCAGATGCTGAACCGATCTGTCTGTCGATCTCTCGCTCCCTCCTTCCCTCACTCGTGGACAACACCCCAAGATACGTAAACTCCTCCACTTAGGGCAAGATCTCCTCCCCGACTCAGAGAGGGCACTCTACCCTTTTCCGACTGAGGACCATTCTTTCAGATTTTGAGGTGCTGATTTTCATCCCAACTACTTCACACTTGGCTGTGAAGCTCTCCAGTGAGAGTTGGAGATCCCGGCTTGAAGAAGCCAACAGCACCACATCATCTGCAAAAAGCAAAGAATCAATATTGAGGCCACCATACCGGACCCTCTCAACGCCTCGACTGCGTTTAGAAATTTTGTCCATCAAGGTTATGAACAGAATCGGTGACAAAAGGCAGCCTTGGCCAGTCCAACCCTCACTGGAAACGGTTGCAACTTACTGCCAGCAATGCGAACCAAACTCTGACATTGGGACCGAACAGCTCGTATCAGAGGGTTCGGTACCTCATACTCCTGAAGCACCCTCCATAGAGCTCCCCGAGGTAAACAGTCGAACGCCTTCTCTTCAAGTTCACAAAATACATGTGGATTGGTTGGGTGAGCTCCCATCTGCCCATCTTGAGGACCCTGTTAAGGGTGCAGAGCTGGTTCACTGTCCCATGGCCGGGACGAAAACCACACTGTTGATCCTGAATCTGAGACTAGACTTTCCTCTCCAGCTCTCCTGAATAGACCTTACTATGGAAGCTAAGGAGTGCGATCCCTCTGTGATTGGAACACACCCTCCGGTCCCCCTTCTGAAAAAGAGGGACCACCTCGCCGATCTGCCAACCCAGAGGCTCTCTCTCCAATGACCAGGCAATTTGCAGAGGTGTGTCCATCAGGACAGCCCCTCAGCATCCACAGCCTTGAGGAACACCGGGTGGATCTCATCCATTCATGGGGCTTTGCCACAGTGACTTCAACCCCAGAGATAGAGAGTATTCTGCCCACCGATTCACAACCCATCCCCACTGTACACAGTGTTAATGGTGCATTGCTTCACCCTCTTGAGACGTCGAATGGTGGACCAGATATTCCTCGAAGCTGTCCAGAAGTCGGCTTCCATAGCCTCACAGAGCTCTTCCCACGCCCGAGTTTTTGCCTCGGCAACCGCTGAAGCTGTGTTCCGCTTGGCCATCTAGTACCCATCATCTGCCTCTGGAGTCCCACAGGGCATAAAGGCATTGTTTTCTCTTAACAGAATCGTGGCGCCACCACAGTAGTGGCACTACCTCTGTAGCGCTTTGAGCCAACAAAAAATTATTTATAATCACTTAAATGTCAAAATCTCTATCCTGATTTACACACAGATTGGATGCCCCCCTAATTTGGATGACCAGGGCGGGCGTCCTGTTGGCCAAGCCCACTGCACACTCCTAGTTTAATGCTGTTCACTTGACAAATACTAGACATGTAAAAAAAAAAAAAAAATCTGCTAAACCATTCATTTGTATGAATAGGGTGGGAAGTGCTCCTGCCCAAAGAGTTGTAGTCATTCTAATATTACATACATTCAGTTAGCAGACAAACAGTATTCTGATTAGCCACTTTTACACATACAGTGGTACCTCTACTGACCAAATTAATTGGTTCTGGAAGAAATTTCTTAACTAGAAAATTTTGTAAGTAGAGATATGTTTTCCATGTAAATGCCCTCATCCATTCCAAGACCCCCCAAAATTCAGACATAAATGTTTTCTCAAGCATAAAACTGCATCAAAATATGGAACAAATAGATGTTATAATTAGATTATTGCACAATAAATGAGAGCTGTGCATAATGTAAAAAAAAAAACAAAGAATAGAGTAAAGATAATTTTACTTTTAACTGTGTCCTCGTCGTTTTTTGCCCTCTTTAGTTCATGTTAACTCTCAGAAGTGATTTTTGCCCGACGTTTTGTTAAGAACTGATCCCAGGAACGTTTGCTTTTGTCGGCTTTTAACAGTCCTTTGAAAATGTCCAAGGCAAACATCAGCATAGTGAGCGATCTGGTGAACACTTTTTCTGGGTGATTCACATTTACGTAAAACTATCATAGCCCACGGGGTGAATGACGAGGACATTGCATAGACACATATCTATTTATCTACTGTATGTACACACATAGACACATACGGTAGAGGTCCCTCTTAGCCAATGGGATGCCGGGAAGATGCTCGGTAGTAGCCAATGGCAGAGCAGCTACAAATATGTTGCGTTCAGGAAACTCAGGGCTGCGAGTAGCAGCCCATACTGTATTTTCACCTTTCGTATCTTGAAATTTCTTTCATAACGAGAGGCAATATTTTCCTATTGAGGCGTTTCGTAACTTGAAAATTTCGTATGAAGAGACGTTCGTAAGTAGAGGTCACAATATAGACTGGCACCATGCTATTTTACTTGTTTGGAAGAGCTTATCGACCTTATCGAGATGTTTCCTGCAAAGTGCCTTCTCATGGAGGTGCGTCAAGTTGTTGAATATCCTGATGTAGCGGTCGAGGATGACGTTTCCATCATTACGTTTTTACGATTTTTCCAGATACTGATCTAGTGCTGCTCCTAATTTACTGCTGCAAGTAGACCTTCCAATCTCACTCCATTTTAAAGAGAAGAGTGTGACATTGGACACAGGTTCAACGGGTTGTAAAAATGCTTCAGAATTGTTTTGAACAGATGTATGATCTCAACATTTTACAACATTTTACAACCCGAAGAATATTTGCATGTGGCACTTCGGCAGAAACGTCTATTTTTAGCTCCACTCAAGATTACTCCTCCTTTTGATTTGCTGATGCGATGTTTTGCGTTGCATTGTCTTTCTTTTTATACCTACCTTCATTTCACTCCAGCTCAGTGCGCCCCAGATCCCCCCACTTCCCCAACCAGCCTGCATCCTCACCCTTCCTCCGCCAACTTCCCCACCTCCTCATAATGAATGCCTGAATCGGACCAGGTAAGTGACTGTTCACCACACCCACCCTTTGTTCAGCCCTGTTTCCTCTCAATGCTTGGTTTACTTTTTTCACTGGCCGAAGAAGTTGAACAATTACAAAAAATAAATGTACAGATGCACTTTTCCACTTTCACTTTCTTTTGCATTTGATGAAAATGAAAGCAGTGTATAGCACGTGACTATCAGTTGAATTTATGCACAAATTCCAATGACGCTGCGATGTTATGTAAAACATAAAAACAGAATTCAATGATTTGCAAATAGTTTATAGTCAATTGAATTCACTACAAAGACCAGATATTTAATGTTCCAACTGAGAAACTTTGTTGTTTTTGAATACTCACTCATTTTGAATATGATGCCTACAGCATGTTCCCAGAAAGCTGCAACAGGGACTTGTCCTTGCCAATGTGGTGCCCTAACCAAAATTTTCAATGGCAGGCCCTTCTATCGACGAATTACGTGTATGTCACATTTTTATTGCATTTCCTCGATAAGGTAATGACAGAGATGTTCGCTCGGACAGTTGAACAAAGGCTCGAACGTAGGAACAGATCGACTTTCACTGACGGCAGGAGGCGCAGTTTTCTAAGAAGCCACTCTGTGCGCGCTTCTCAACTGACACCTGACCTCTGCAGCCTCTGCCAGCTTTTTATCGATCGTGTATGCAAATTAAAAGTGATATATCAGAAAAACACTCCCTTCTTCATTTACATGTCACGCCTCTCAGCCCAGCCCACCGATACGCCCCTCAGTGGGCACCCGGAGGCCAAAACATCTCTCGGTACAAACAATGGATACCTTGTTAATTCAATGGGTAGATTTCGCATGAATTGAGACACCGTTACAAACTCAAGGACATCTTATCGTGCTGACGACCCGAAATTGAACCTTCCTGTCTGTACTATCAGTTAACAAGGCCTCAGCTCCATTCAGCTCAAGCATACAACAAAATGAAACTTTAAACATGATAACTTTGAGTTTGTCTATACTCTATCAGGTAATGTCACATCATTGAATATGTAATATGGACCATTTTATTAATTTCATGACTGGCTTGTTATGCAAGGGAGTTGCTGTTGCGGTGCCTAATTCAATACACCAAAAGGAGCAACAACTTGACATCTCATTCTGCCATTTTCCCTCTTTTTTTTCTTTCCTCCTCTTTTTTCTTCCCAGTGCTCTGGACAATTTCAGTAACTTTCACATGTTTCCAAAGTTTCATACCCTGAAGAAATGGTCAATACTTTTTCAATAGGTTGCACAAAATTAAATCATCTGGATCCAGATACATTTTTAGCTAGGCTATATCTACGTGTACTTAAAATGTATCTGGACCCAGATGATTTTAATTTGGGCTTCCACTTAAAAATAAATGTGTCCCTCCCTCTTAGGACATCGAGCAGTTTACCAATCAGCCAGAGAGGGAGTATTTGCCATTCATGAATGTGTGGCAGGCATCAAATTCAAAATAAGTGAGTCTTCGAAAACCACAACAACAACAAAAATCATCAAGCTTATCAGTTGGAACAATAAATACCAGGTCTTTGTTTTGTATTCAATTGAATATCGGTGGGAATGTACTTGCAAATCATTCTGTTCTATTTTTGTTTGTTTTATACAATGTCCCTCTTCACTGGAATTGCTGTTTGTGTAAATATCTTGCACTTTCTATGATAAACACCTGTGCTTTGTTTTTAAGGTCCTCATTTTTGTTCGCTCCTTTTTGACATTTTCTCATTCAATCATATAACATATAATATATAACCTGCTCAGTTTAGAGAGCCAAGTGGTTTCAAATATTTGAAAATACGGATGGATGGATATCATATAACATATAATATATAACCTGCTCAGTTAAGAGAGCCAAGTGTGTGGTTTCAAATATTTGAAAATACGGATGGATGGATGGATTTTTTTGTTTAAGGTAATGTAGTGGGAATACGATTTGTTTCAAAAGCTATGCTTGTTTTTACCTACCAAAAGTAAGGCACACTAGGTCATTGAAACCATGCTTGAACACACTTCATGCCAAAAGTCTAATTCAGATTCACAATCAAATTCATTGGCCAAGTATGCAAGAAACACATAAGGAATTTACGAATCAAATTCATTGGCCAAGTATGTAGGTAACACATAAGGAATTTACTTCCCAGTTACAACCGTTCAGAGGAACATAAACAAGACAGCAATAACCAATGTGGGGGAGACAGAACAAGAAGCCTGGCGGGTCGCTGTTAAGCGCCCCGATATCTTAGATGTGAAAGGAAAACAGCCGGAAGAAGAAGTAAAAAAAACAAGAGACTCCAACTATTCTCCTTAAATTGGAGAACAGGGTTCCCACTCTTCCACTTGCTTTTTATTTATGGACCTTTTAAGGACATGTGAGGTCTAATTTTGCCATTTTTTGAAGGACTTTTTCTCCATTCAGCATTCAGCAGGATTCACGGTGGATTTAATGCCCGCTCAGCAATATGCGGGCTGAACAGAAAGCCACATATCACTGAGCTGGTGTTTAAATCATTGCTGCCAAAGGAAGGGCACATCTTTATTTTTAGGGGCAATCAGCTCACCCTTTATTTGACATACTGTATGTCAAATTTTCATTTTCAAATGAAAACCTTGAATTCATTCTCAAATAAAGTACAAGAAGAAAACTGTAAATTTAGAAAATATAAAACTTCAATTTATTTTCGAATAAAAATACATTTTTAAGAATTTGTATTGATTTTAGATTAATTAATTAATTAGATTAAGAATATAATTTCACAGCTTCTTTTTTTATGGGTTTTTATGAACTTTAAGGACCCATGGGAACCCGGGAGGATAGTTTGAGCCAGAGAAAAAAAAGCTCAGCACATGGAGCATACATTTAAAAACACAGTCCAACAATTCTCAAGGCTTCACTTGGAATTAACTGGGTGGGGGAGGGAGGGGAGCAAGATGGGGAGTGCGTCACAATTTGTGAAACAAGCTGCACACAGTAGGTGTGCTCAAGTCTCTCCAGCTTTGGGGAGCGGGTGAAGTGAATAGGAATCCAGCGAGGACTTATTTTAGACCAATGTGAATGGGTGGGGCAGCACAGAGAACAGCCATTGCGCCAAAATAGAAGTGGCCCGGTGAAAACCATCTCTATAGTCAAGTGGTCATCCTGGAAATTGACAAAACCAAACCCTGTGCTGAACTAATGACAGCGGTTCGTAGCAGTGGACACAGAGGTAATCTAAAAGCGCCTCCCATTTCATAAGGTTTTGTTTGTTTGCTCTTTTTACCTGTTGCACCCTCCAGCTCAAGCCCTGTCTGCTGTCAAGTTTGATGGAGCATCTTTTTGAGGACTTACGGTGTGAAATTGACAATGAAGATTACCTCAAACAAACAAAGTGACATGACCTGATCCAACAAAAGCATGGCAAGCCGTCAACATGGCGACGAGGGAAATAGAGCATCTCTACTTCAAAGGAATCTTCGAGATTTAACACCCCAACATTCAAGTCATCATCCACTTTACATCCAAATCAATGGCCAGTATAAACTGTTTGTACCCTGGGGCTGTACAAAAGCTCGAAAGCGTAGTCTATCTCTTGCTTCAAAACATGTCGCGCGGTACATGTCAACAGAACGTAGCTAACAAAGTCGAGAATGACCGATGGGCTGTGTGCGAGTGAAAGAAATGAACGTCAGCAAACGAAGGTTGATTCTTAAACAATTTACATTTAAACAAGATAATGTTAAACTGTTCAAGATTGAGTGCTCAATGAGAAGACCACGCTGGTGCTTTCGGACCCAATGAGTTTCATTTGAGGTTGGGCGTTTTAACCACGAGAGTTGTGGGAACGTTGACTAGCCTTTTTGTCCTTGTGGAAAAATACAATTGAACTTTGGTGATAACTTATCCATTCCAACCAAGTGTATCACTATAAATTTAATGCTACTAATAATTTATCATTTATATCAGGAGACCCAAAGATGTTTAACATAAATTTGTCCGGGTAACATGTTTTCCTGTAGCACTGACTTAGAGTTCTATTTCTAAGGGCTGCACATACAGTATATTCACAATTGTGACACGATGTCTTTTTCTCCTTGATAAAATGGTTGAAAGGAAAAGAAACAGTGTGAGCAGGGGTGTCCAACCTTTTTTGACCAAAGATCGACTTTTCAAGCAACCGACCTCCCGCGATCGACCGTTACCACACACGCGCTCACTGACACATGTACGCCATGATAAGCAACAGCCATAACGACCCACAACACGAACGAAACAGAACAATAAAATAGATACAAGAGCTTGTGAGTTTGTAAAAAGGAATAAATGCCTACCTTAGTCGAGACCTGACGCGGTGGCATGGAATGCACTTTGGCAGCGTCTTCAGTGCAACAACGTCACTATCATAGCTCACGTGTACCGTTTTAAAAAAGCTTCTCCGGGCTCTCCAAATTCCCATTCTTTGCCAGTGCCATCAGTGAATTGCACATGAAACAAACTTTGAATGAGAATAATAAAAAATAAAGCAGATATATGGCAACAGATCTGATCGCAAGCTGCAAGTGCAGATTGCTGAGCGCAAACAACTTCAGGTGATGCAGGTCACGCGCCGCCATAGGTTAAAGGTGACCTGCTTTGTTATATTATTTTATTTTTATTTTTTTGTGCTAGTGAAACTGAGAGGATGCTTAGGGTGCAGTGTGCACTAACACAAAAATATAGAATATTAATAACACGCACACAGACACGCATCTTTTTTTTTTTTTTTTATCCATTTCCCCCTAGATCCCGCGCGATTGACTTGGGACCAGTTCACGGGCTACCAGTCGATCGCGATCGACTGGTTGGGCACCCCTGAGTGAGACTGTGTGTCGCAAATATATGGGCTTTAGACCACAAATCCTCCCAAAAGTAAACATTTGTCCAAGGTCATCATTTCCATTTCTGGTGGAGATACAGTAAACCAATTCTTAATGAGGCAAAAGGATGCAAGGCCAAGGCAATATTTAATGAACAAAACAAACAAAACCAAACATATATGAATATGTGTATGTGTATATACTGTATACATAAAATTCTACTCCAGTGATTGTCTACACATATAAGTTTAGAATATTGGATCTTTTTTTAAAAGTAGCAAGCTACACACGTTCACTGGCTATAGAAGTGACCTTAGAAATTGAATTCAAAAATTGTCTGTGGAAGTTAGCTAGGAGGAAATACTGTACAGTACCTACAAAATACGGTCTCATGACAAAATGGTTATATTTCATGCAAACATGCTGTGCCAAATGGCTAAAATGTGTGAGCATTTGAAACCATTTTTGATTGACAGGGTGACATTCATGCTCATTGACATGCCATGAGTTACGATGCAGGTGGAAACAAGTTTTATTTTCAAAGACGCATTTAGTGCCAATAATCCTAAACTCCAAATTGACCAGCATAATTTGATCCATTCCTTGATTTTAATTGACTCGGTACACATGTATGAAAACTCACTGGTCAATTAAATACTTATAAATAATGTATAGTTGTATTTTTGGGGCTTTACGTCTATTTACTCTGGCACTTTTTTTTTTTGGTCAATTTATAGCTTTAAGAGGTTCAACTGAAACAAATTAATTTCAGTTATTTGGGGGTTAGAATTCTTTCAATATGTATTCACATTTCAATTGCTCGATTCAACGGTTTTTTTTGTTTTTTTTTAATGTGCGTCAAACTTCATTGCAGATGCGTGTGGGCATGACTTTCCAGTCATGTAAATGATTCAATCAAGTTCATCTCACAAAACGAGCATTTTTAAAGCAGGATAAAGCAATGGTAAAATCAACTCCATTGAATCTTTTCCACATGCCCCTGTTTTGTCTTTGTGTATCACAACCCATAACAATTTTCATTCTCCTCGATGCACCTCGATGTCCAAGTGGCCTGTCTTTGTTCAACCAGATTTCAAGGAAACGTTCCCCAAATTTGGGAAAAACAATTTCATGCCGAAAGCAGTTAAGCTCCTCACCACGCAAAAGCAAAACAAAGATTTATTAGATGATCTATATATTTTTTTTTCTTTTACATTTTTTTAAGAAAGGGAATATGCTCATAAGTGGCAGTACTTATATTTTTTGACGCACGGAAAGACAATAACAAGATGTAATTTTTACACTTTTCATCGACAAAAGATTTGTTTTTAAGTGTGTTTGCTCTGTTGGATAGAACACAGATTGATATTTTTCACTCAATGGAATCTGACGTGTAAAGATGATTTCAGCCCGCAAGTGGTTTTCAATATTGGTAGCATATGTCACATTCACGGCTGAAAATAAACAATTTGTATTTTGGCCGAATTCTTCAACAATAATTGGCCGGGTTTGATGATATTCTCAGAATCCATTAGGTTATCCTTCTATTATGTATTACAACTACTAATTTGAGGGAAACATCTACCAACTGCTTAAACTATGCAAATGATTAAAAAAAGAGTGTGTGTGTGTGTGTGTGTGTGTGTGTGTGTGTGTGTGTGTGTGTGTGTGTGTGTGTGTGTGTGTGTGAGAGAGAGAGAGAGAGAGAAAGACACAATATGCTTGCTTTCAGAAAATTTTGCAATAAAGTGAATGTATTCAAATATCTTCTTTTCCAGATGCTTTAGAACTCATCACGGTATTTTGTATGAGAAAATATTGTTTGGAATGAATATACCGTATATATATATATGTATGCTCTTGAACTCCACTTGCTTATGAGGTATTTCACTGCCAATACACTTGAGACTACTGAGGTGAAACCTGCTTCTCATCAATAAGCGCACTCATTATGATGATGATGATGCTCTTCAGTCTTGCTGTATGTCCAAATAAAAGGTAAAACAAAATGATTTTGTCTTTCATGCTTAAACTTCGACAATGCAAACCTTTACATGCCCACAAAAAATATGGCTACCATAGATAGACAGGTGCTGAAAAAAAATCCACCTCACAGTTTAGAGGTTTTCTGAAAACAGACTCATCCCCACAGGCGGGCCCAAGGGGACTCCTGGCCGCCCACTAAAATGCTTGTGAATATGGCATCTTAACAAACCGCTTCCTTCACTTTGTCACATAAAGACTGTTGATTTGGAGCGGCAGTGCTGCGCAACTGCATAATCATAATTGGGCCCCACATGAATTTAATGTGCGCCTTGTGTGTGTGTGTGTGTGTGTGTGTAACTAATAGCCTTCAGTTAAGTGAAACGACAGAGGTTGGTCACCAGGAACCATAGTTCTACTTTCCGCAATTAATAATAATAAGAAGAAGAATACATTTTATTTATAAGCGCATTTCAAAATACCCAAGGACACTTGACAATCAAAAGAGCAATAAAACCACAGATAAAATTATAAATAATAAAAGCGATGAGTTTAAACTGTATATGCAATTTTAAATAGGTGAGTTTTGAGATGAGTTTTGAATATAGGAAGAGAGTCAATATTCCGGATGTCAGGTGGGAGTGAGTTCTAGAGTTTGGGGGCAGAGCGGCTGAAAGCTCTGCACCCCATCGTGCTGAGACGGGCAGGGGGTACACAGAGGTGGAGGGAGGCTGAGGACCTAAGGGAACGAGAGGGAACGGAAATTTGAAGAAGGTCCGACAGATGGGGGGGCAAGGTTATGGATGGCTTTGTATATGAAGAGGAGTATTTTGAAGTTGATCCTCAGTTTGACAGGGAGCCAGTGCAGCTGTTGGAGGATAGGGGTGATGTGATGGAAGGAGGGGGTTCCAGTGATGATACGGGCCGAAGAATTCTGGACCAATTGAAGTTTATGGAGGAATTTGTTGTGGACACCGAAGAGAAGTGAGTTGCAATAGTCAATACGGGAGGTGACGAGACTGTGGACAAGGATGGCAGTGGAGTGAGGGGTGACAGAGGGACGGAGACGGTTGATATTACGTAGGTGGAAATATGCGGACCTGGTTATGTTATTAATATGAGAGTGGAACGATAGTGAGCTATCGAGGATGACACCCAGGCTCTTGACCTGAAGGGAGGGGGACACAGTGGAGTTATCAATAGTGAGAGAAAAACTGTTGGTTTTGTGTAGGGTGGATTTGGTACCGACAAGGAGGAGTTCTGTTTTGTCACTGTTAAGTTTGAGGAAGTTATGTGTGAACCAAGATTTAATTTCTGAAAGGCAGTGTGAGAGGGAGGAGGGTGGGAATTGCACGCTTGGCAGCTACATGTTAGGGGGACATCCCAGTTTATGGTGAAAATTCAACTTCACGATTGAAGTTACTGTAAAGTAAAGCACGCCTGTCATTCCAGTTGACAACCTGCATGTAAAAAGAGGATGGATGCAATTTCACAATTGGTCAACATGATTTAAAACAAAACTCTTGTCCAATACAAATTGTTCAACTTCAAGAAATATCGAAACATCTCCACATACAAAATTAAAAACAAAAATATGACACAAAATATAAGCTGAAAATACAAAATACAATACAAAATACATGTCCCACACCCTTTTTTATAATAGTAACAATATTATAAATACAGTGATAAGACCCCTTATGATGAGTACAATTAATGGATCTCAATTTCCCTTGCCCGGACGCGGGTCACCGGGGCCCCCCTCTGGAGCCAGGCCTGGAGGCGGGGCTCGTTAGCGAGCGCCTGGTG